GGGGGGGGGGGGGCCTTGAGACAGCGGTGAGTGGAAGGCGGGGGCTGGCAGGCTGCCATCCCAGGGGGCAGAGAATGAATCACAGACGTGAAGGAGAGACTCACTGGCATGTCACAGCCTGGGCCCCAGGCCTGGGCTGGAGCCCTGGTCTGTTTACAGAGTGTCAGAACCGGGGAGGGAGGCTCAGGTGGAAGCCGGTCTAAACCCAGTGTCCTCCCCCAACGTATCCCATTCTAGGGCCGATCCTGGACCAGCAGGGGAAGCAGCAGAACATGTAGGGGAAGTGCACAAGACTGTGCTGCTTAGCAAGTGATAACTTCTCTCTGAGCCTCATTTCCTCATCCGTAAAATGGGGATAATCATAGTGTCTGCCTGGTAGGGTTGTTTATAAGGATCAAATGACAAATACCTGTAAAGCACTCAGCACCGTGTCTCACACATAGAAAAAGAGTGGTTTCGTTCTTATTGCTGTTAAGGGCTTGGTACGTTGAAGGAGGTGAGACCCACTCGGTCTCAGACCCAGAAGCAAATTCAGGGGGCAAAGTGGATAGAGTTGAGGGATGGGGAGGGGACCGGGCAGGACAGAGCCACAGGGTGGCTTTCTGGAGAAAAAAGCAGCATCTTGGTGCTGGGATTCCCAAGCACCTCTAAGGTTCTGTGATGCCCCTTAAAAGCACAGGGTCCAGGCCCACTCCTGATTTCTCTCCTCCCCCCCACCCCCACCCCTGAGCCAGGGAGAGCATCTCTGCTTTCTGTCTGGAGATGTTGAGGAGGAGCGTTGTTAAACCTCACCATTCACGGGCGAGAGTCTCATGCCTGCCCTCAGTGGGGTGGACTCTGCCCCACTTCTGAGCCTGCTCATTCCCGGGCTGTCTCCCTGTCGCCATCTGCTCAGGACCTGGAGTCCTGCAGACCCTCCCACAGAAGTCCTGGTGAGGGGCCTGGGGACTCCATTCCAGAGTCCTCAGGGCACCTGAGTCTGCCAGGGGGTGCTGACGTACTGGGAGCCATGCCAACCTGCCATGTGTGTTGGCCGGGGTGGCCGTCCCTGGGGCCTCATTAGCTTTATCATACAGTGCCCCCAGTTCCCCAAGATGCATGCCTCCTTGCCTGGTCTGCAGACGGGTCCTCTGTTCTATGCCCTAAGAAAGGCTCTAGGCGTGAATGTCTCCTCCCCTGGGACTCCCAACTTGACTGAGCCTCCCCTCCACTCCTCTGCTCCTCCGAGGAGCCACCGAGGCCAGGATGGGCCTCCTTCCTGTCAGCCTATGGTTGGCTTGTATTAATTCAAGGCCCACTCGGACTGTTCTGGGCTCGGGATGGTTCAGGAGGCTTTGGGCTGAGCCCACATCTCCACCATACCTCTACCCAGGAGCGGGCCTGGGACAGCTGGAGTGCGCAAGCTCCTTGCCGGGCATTCAGAGCTCCCACCCCGGAAGACCCCCTGCTCTCTGAGATGTGTCAGATTCCCTTACATGGAGCCTTCCAGCCCCCTGCCGGTCTTGTCTCGTATTTACCACATGTACCACGTGCAGCCCCACTCCCACGCTTTTGCTTGAGCCACTTCAGTCTGCATCTGTTGAGGTGCACCCTCTCAAGTGGACTGAGGTGTTGGATGTCTCAGGCTCAGCCCTCCCGCCTCCCCTCCTCTGAATGCTGCTCACTCCCGTGCTGCTTTGTGCCACTCACTACTTTTCCCTACAGAGGTCTCCTCCCCAGTAGCCCCAGTGCCAGTATGGCGCTGGGCTCACAGTAGGCGCTGAAGGAGACTTCGGTGAGAGTGGTATTGCTCTGAGCCCAGGGTAGTTCTGGCCTGGAATTACCCCCAAATGACCCCTAATTGCTCGGACAGGAGGGTCAAGGATCACCTAAGCCACCCAACTTCTCTTAAGTTACCTGCCATGTTCTTTAAAGAATAGAGGGCAAACAGGAGCCAAGTGCCTTGAGAAGAAGGGAGCCTGCCAAGTGGAGTGATTAAGAGCACAAGCCTCAACCTGAATCCTGGATTTGAATCCCAGCTCCGCCACAGACTAGCTGTGTGACCTTGGGCAAATTACTCAACCTCTCTGAGCCTTAGTTTTCTGAGATAATCATACCCAGTAGACTCGAGGATCGAATGCAATACTGTATATCCAGCGCACAGAACAAGGCCCAGCCCTTATTAGGCATTCTGTAAGTGGTAGTTACTATGATTAATAATTCATAGGCATTAATAACAACGTTAATAAGAGTAGCAACATTATCATTAGTGTGGGCCAAGGTGTTCCAGCCCCCCCCCCTCCCCCTCAGGGCCAAGGTCTGGGTCTCTCCAGCCAGGGCCCCAGCCCACCTCCCCTCTTTGTGCAAGCACCAGAACCTATGTCTGTCTTCTTCCCTCCCCCTCAGATCCAAAGGGCCCGTCTGGTCATGCTCTTGTGAGGACAGTCTTCCTTTGGGGTGGAGAGAGCCATGGGCTTAGATTATGTCTGTGGAGACTTCCCACCCTGTGCCACTGAGGGTTCTCTGCGAAGGGGCCTGGAGGCCTGGGGTATACTCACTAGGATGCCCAGTACCATCCTGGGTTGGCCTGGACATAGTCCTTAACGGGGTCACTGCAGAGAAAGGAGGGGGAGAGAATCAGAATCTCCCCTATGTCTCCATTTCCACGTCTGCACCTGCCCCACCACGGTTCCCAGGACTTGCGAAGAAGAAAGGAAGAAGGGATCCTGGTGGCATAGGGAGCCCCAGCCACAGTCCCCGGCTGGGACATGGAGGTACCCGGCTGTGGGGCTGGAAGATCTGAGAGGAATGACCACTTCCCAGGCACCAACAGGCCCAGAAGGTACCGGGTCCACCCCTGCTGGATAGAGGACTCCTCCGTGGGCACTCCCTAAGATTCCTCCCCAGTGTGAGGGCCTCCACTGCCCCACACAAATCTTTTCAGGCAAACATTCCAAAAGCAGTCTGATTCAGGGACCCCCGCCCCAGGCCTTGCCATGGCTGCCCCTAGAAGGTGCTGGTTCACACAACCAACTCACCAGAAGGTAAAGAGAGCCACGACACCCAACGTCACCAGCAGCTGGATCAGTAGGATTGTATAGACCTAGGTTTGGGAGGGAGTTCCGGTCAGCTTGGGGAGCCCCCACTGGAGGCTAGGGAGGCTAAGGCCCCCAGTGAGGCTCAGCGAGTACCCCAGCTTCCCAGTGACTCAATCTACTCTCCAGACCTACATCCTATACCCTCCCCTTTCTTTCCTAGGGGTCACTAGAATGGACCCAGGACAAGGTGAAAGACAAGCAACTTTGCTCCAGAGCCCACCCCCACAGGACAAGGGGCCCCATGTATCTGGAGACAGGTTGAGACAATGAGTTTGGGTATAGCAGAGGGCAGTGGGGTGAAGCACTTCCCAGCAGGTGCTATCAGCTGGGGTCACTAGAGAAGGGGGCACAGGGATGGCCTCTGTAGACAGAGGGCTGGGCCAGGGCCTTCTCAAGGGACACCCTGTCCTCCCCCCCCAGTCCCCCAGTCCTGGAGAGTCGGGAGGAGGTGGTTACCTTTCTGATGAAGACTCGGCGAACTTTCTGGTCGTCCCAACTGAAGGTGGTGAAGAGCTCATGGTCTCCGGCGGGGAATCCGTTCTCATAGCTAGAGCTGCCTGTATGGACATGGGGAGGGCCATGAGGGCTCCCATGTATATAAATCCTGCCCCCAATGGCCACCTGTTCAGAGCTGACTTTTGTCAAACTGGCTCTCTGGACTGGGGAAGCTTTTTTCTCTAGTTCTGTTCTCAAACCTCCCACCCCACCCCATCCCACCCTCAGATCTTTTTCCCCAGCTGCTTCTCCTGAGTCCTGAGAATACACTGTCATCTCCCTACCCCTTCCTTGCATGCTGACTGGGGCTCCCTGGGGGCCAATCCCTGCCATACAAATGTGGCCCTTTTCTCTTGTGTCCCCCACTCTCCTCCCTAAACACACTGGCTCCCTTTAGTGGCTAAGAATCAGAGAGAGACAGCCACTCTCCCAAGGCCACCTAGCACATCTCAGGGTCTAAGGTCCTACCCCTGCCTGCTCTGAGGCCCTTGGGGTGAGAACCAGGGACTAGTTGGATGGGAGAACCTTCTGGTGCCCCAGCTGGGAAGCAGGGCAGGGGGAAGACTGGAGGGGGAAGTAAAGCCAGGACAAGGGCAAGGAGTGGGGTATGGCTGGGGATGAAGTTTGGGGGCCTGGTCCCAGAACTGAGAACCCAGATATCAGGCCTGTGAAAGAGCATAGGATCCACAGTCAAACAGACCCACATGTGGCTCCCTCTTTTCAGACTGACTATCAGCCATCTTGGAGTGTCTTCTGCGATATGGGTCCGTGACACTCACCTCCTGGGGACAAAACTAGATGAAAGCGAAAGCCGATGGCTCTGTGCCTGGTGGGGACTATGCTGCCCTCTCCTTTGCACCCCTCATCTGGGCCATTCCTGAGGCCTCTGCTCTGTTCTCTTCCACTGTCCTTTTAATTCTTGCCATTTCTCCACGATCTTACCCTCCCTCCACAGCAAAAGCGTCAGTCTTGGTCTTTCAAAGCTGACCCTGCATCAAGCTCTTTGATGGCTCCCCACTGCCTTTTACTCAAGTTCAAGTTCTTTAACAAAGCTTCCACAGCCTCCCCCGAGCTCTCAGCCCCAATGCACACTGTTCCCTCCTACTTTTCTCCAGCCTGACTATATTTTTTCGGCCATGTGCTTTCTTGCCTCTGCACATTATATTCTTTCAGCCTGAACACTCATTTCCCCGCCTCTTCACCAGGCTAACTCATTGAGTCTTCAGGACTCAATGTGGATACCCCTTTGTCCAGGAAGTCTTCCCTGACTGCCACACGGATTAGGTAAGCTGCCTAGGCGTCTATCACTGCATCTCTTTCATTGTGTGGTAGTTGTCTGTTTACTTGTCTGTACAGTCAGGCCCGTGGGGGCAACAAGTCTTGCAAATCCATACATCGCTAAGAAATTTAGCACCACTGGTCACAGTGCTTGACACACACTTAGAAACGTTTGTCACATGTTGACTAAAATGAGCGTCCTTCCTGCCCTGACAGTTCCCTGGAAAACACTATTTAAGGCAGCTAGCCCTGGCAACCTGGATATGGAAAATGAAGAAGGGGGAGAGAGGGGAACCCACTGCAAACCTGGGGCCTGGAGGCCCTCACCCTTTTGTCTTCCACTTTCATGTGCGGTCTACATCTCCTGCCAAAGCCCAAATGGCCAGACCACTGAGCAGGCGATGAGGACAGAGAAAGTCCTGTGGGTGTCTGGGGCAGTGAGAAGGACTCACACAAACACCAGACCTTCATTGGCTCTCCAGTAGGTCACGGTGTGGTAGGTCTGCTTGGCTCTGGGCCGAGAGGGTTTGTGGTAAGGGGTGTGGACCATGGTGGCCACTCCCGGTGAGTAGAGGTTCTGTCTGAGGCATTGTTCCTGGGATTCCTTCTAGAATTCTGCTGGGGGAGGGGGGTTGAGGGGCCGCTTAGGGAGGCTGCCGGGGCTGAGGAAGATTTGAGAAGGGGCCCTTCCTTAGCACGTGGGGAGCTGTATGTTCCCAGCCCCAAGGCAAAGCTCCCACAAGCTGCTCAATCTAACAGAGGGGCTCCCACGGGCTGTGATTTTTGGTCTACAGGGAGCTGGCATTCACCTGGGTAAGTGTGCCTATGAATTATGCCTGGCCATGAGGGGCACTAAGGCTGGCATCCATATACCTTCCCCATGTCCTGTCCTCCTGTCCCCAACAAAGGCCTGGAGAAGGGAAGAGAGGTAAGGAAAGTGAGGGTGAAGTGATCCTCAGACCCCTGGCCCCCAACATCCCTGGGGCCTTCAGGGGGAAGTTTTGGATCAGCCCACATGTAAACACGACACCTCCACTCACAGGGAGCCAGCCACAGCTTAATGCTGCCCTTTCCTGTGTCTACTCTGACCTCTCTCCACCCTTTTAATGTACCCCTTTGAGGAAAGCCTTTCTAGAATAGCCCCTGATCCACCCCCTCCCCCTATTTACTCCCTCTATTTGCCCTAGCTTGGTGACTTGAAAAGAATCCCCTCTTCCCCATCCAAGAGTACTATGACAGAAAATATTGTGTCTCTCCCTTTTCATGGAGTCCTCCTTGACCTACTCTTGGAATAGCCCTCCAAATCCCAAGCCTTTGACAACAGAGCCTCATATAACAACCATACAATGCATCTATTTATGGGCAACTTCCTCCTACCCAAGTTTTTCCTCTGGGCCTACCACTCCCCATGATGTTCCAGCCTCCAGGAGCTGAGAGACTTACTAGGATCCACATAGGCCCAGCTGGGATGGAGAGGCACAGCCGACGGGGCTGGGGGGAAGGCCCCTGCCTTCAACCCCTCTCCAGAGGTGGCCTCCTCATAGGAGGGCGGGGCCGAAGGCACTGCTGGAGTCTCCTTCTTCTCACCATTGGCCTGCTGCTGCCCCTCTGTCCCGGGGGCCTTGTTAGCCACGGAGATCTGTGGAATAGAGGCGAAGAGAGACAGTCACCAGGGAAAGGGTGCCTTCCAAGTCCTCCCCACCAGCCCCCAATATCTGGAACTTCCATGGGTACTTTCTCACCTGCACTAGGAAGGGTGGGGGTGCAGACAATAATTTCCCTATTTTACACGGGATATGGATATGGATATTATTCAGCCTTAAGAAAGAAGGAGATCCTTCCATTTGCAACAAGGCTCAGTGAAATAAGCCAGACACAGAAAGACAAAAACTGCGTGATACCAGTTATATTGGGAATCGAAAATAGCCAAACTCATAGAAGCACAGAGTAGAATGGTGGTTGCCAGGGGTTGGGGGGTGGGGGAAATGGGAAGGTGTTGGTCAAAGGGCACAAAGTTTCCATTGTGCTAGATGAATAAGTTCTGGAGATCTAATGCACAGCATGGTGATTATAGTTAACAATACTTTATTGTATACTCGAAATCTGCTGAGAGGGTGGATCTTAAGTGTTCTCATCACACACAAAGAAAGGTAACTATGTGAAGTGATGTTAACTGACTTGATTGTGATCATTTCACAATATACATGTATATCAAAACATTCAGGTCGTGTACCTTAAATATATACAATTACCATTTGTCAATTATACCCCAATAAAGATGGTGGCGGAGGAAGACTCTCCCCCCTCCCTTTTTTTTTTTTTTTTTTTTTTTTTTTTTTTTTTTATAGATGGGAGAACTGAGCTCCAGGAGGGTCAGGGCTGGCCAGAGGCACACACTGAAGCTGGAATAAAAACTGAGGAAGGAGAGGGGAAAAAAACTGAGTGACTCGGTCGGTTAAGCGTCCGGCTCATGATTTTGGCTCATGTCACGATCTCACAAATCATGACATCAAGCTCTGTGTTGGGCTCAGGTGCCGAGCCTGCTTGGGATTCTCTCTCTCTCTCTCTCTCTCTCTCTCTGCCTTCCTGCATGCACATGCATGCCCTCTCTCTCTCTCAAAATAAATAAACTTTAAAAAAAAGTTTAAAAAATAACTGAGGAAGGAGAAATTCTTAGGAGAGGCCACCATGGGGCTGTCCCTGGGGCAGAGAAGGGCTGTGTATGGTTCCACTGTCTCCCTGGGGTTCAGGGAAGGGCCTGGCACAGAGTAGGCCCTCAAGAATATTATTGAATGAAAGATTCTTTCATTTAATCTCCCTGCTACCTTGGTGGTTATATTTTGACCCCTGTTTTTTTTTTTTTTTTAATGTTTATTTATTTTTGAAAGAGAGAGCAGGGGAGGAGCAGAGAGAGAGAGGGGAGGAGAGAGGATCTGAAGTGGGCTCTGTGCTGACAGCAGAGAACCCAATGAGGGGCTTGAACTCACAAACCATGAAATCATGACCTAAGTTGAAGTTGGATGCTTAACCGACTGAGCCACCCAGGCACCCCTGATCCCTGTTTTAAAATGAGGGAACTGAGGCTCAGAGAGGAAGGATGACTTGTCCAAGGTCACAGAGCCACACATAGCCCATTGGGCTGCAGAGCCCAGGCCTCATCCACTGGGACTGGCCTCCTTCTGTTGGGCTGGAGATGACACTAGGAAGGTGGGAATGGGTGAGCAGGGAAACAGAGAGGGGTGAGGGGAGATATGAGGAAGAAAGGGGACCATAGAGTGGGGAAAGGGCAAGAGGGCCCTGGTGAAGGGTCCTGTTTTGGCCTCATCCTGTTGTGAACCTCAGCCTCTCTCCCAAACCAGAAGAGAATCACAGACCTTCACTGTTGGAAGGGATCTCAGAAGGTATCTAGCTCAACCCTTTCCTTCATTTGACAGATGAGGAAACTGAGGCCCAGAGGGAATTGTGCCATGGCAGGTTGAAAACTCAAGCCCATTTACACTCAGCTCTGCCCCAGGCCCCAGAGGGTCCACTTAAGCTTTGGGGAGAGGATGTGAGCTGGAAGGGCCTGAGTGCTGCCGCCAGGGAAGGGAAGACTGTGGGGGAGGGGGTGTATGAAAACTGACCGGCAACAAAAAGACTAAGCCTCAGAAAATGAATGGGATTTAGTTCTGGCTTCAGAAAGAATGTGTTAAACCCGAAGGGCTGCAGAGGAAGGCCGCTGAGTTCATTCTTTGCAGGTTGCGTCCAGCTGAGGCAGCCCAGAGGGAAGCGAGCACCAGAACATCTCTGTCTCCACTCAGCCCTAAGGACCACTGAACTGGAAAGTTCTTTTCCATCCTCAGAAAGCCTGTGAGCCAGCTGGGGTCAGAGGCAGAGGAGGCGGGGCGATGTGCTACATTCATTGAGGACAGGAGGCGATGTCAGCAAAGTGACTGGGGTGGGGGGGTGGAATCAGCAGTAGGTGTGGGGAGGGGGCTTTTCATTTTCACCCTGGTGAACACCCCCCAGGCCTCCTTAGGGAAGGGCCTTGAGGAGCCTAGGCCTGTGAGAATGGGGCCCTGGTTCACCTGCTGCCCTCCCACTCCCCAACCTCCTTCCTCATCCAGACCAGAAGGCTCACATCCAGGAAAACCCATTTCAGCCCACCAGAACCAAGGTCCTTTGAAACCAGACCCAGGAAAAGAATTATCACCTCTGACTTCAGCCCTGTCACGAATGGGCCCTCCTCCCAACCCCCACCCTGCCGATCAGCCCCAGAGCCTCCTGGGCCCTGCCCCCCATACACACACACACACACACACACACACACACACACACACCCTCATTCCCAAGTGAGGTCTGCCCAATGGCAGGAGGTGGTATCACCAGTGACATCATTTTGAGGTCTCAGGAGATTAAAAACAGAGAGGAGGGTCTGAGAGCCCAGGGAAGGATGCCATTGGCTCTGAGGCTCATCTTGGAGAAAGGAAGGGGGAGTGTAGGGGAGGCTCCTCTTCTGTTTTCTCTGCCCAATCCTTGGCACCCCCAAAACAGAGGGCCAGAGGACCCTCCCCCTTTGCCCCAGGCCCTGATTGTTGTATAATTCCACAGGCTGTTGATGTTATGTAACCACACTAGGCCAGCCAAGTCTCTGCCCCAGCCCTTCCCCTCCATTTCAGGCCTAAAACTAGAAAAAAAGAGACGACGTTTTATCTGGTTCCATCTAGTCCCATGTCGAGCCAAAACAAAAACAAAAATTAAAGCATCCTGATGCAGGGTTGCCATAGTAATCCCCTCCCCCCCCCCCAAAGCATGTGTCCAGATGTGGAATGAGTTGGCTGGGGGGTGGGGGTGGGGGTTTCTGTGGAGGTGGGAAAGATGAGCATAATGTGGTTGGGGCAGGATAGGCACCACTCCTTGGGGCTCACCCAGGTGCCCCCCTATAGTCCCCCCACCACACCCTGGACACCCAGGTTGATTCCTTAAGGGAAACTGGGTACCTGTGAAGGGTCTTGAGATGCCAGAGCCCCTGGGGTGAGAGGGCCTGTTGGGCAGGAAGAGGCCCTGACCTATCACTTGAAATGCGCCTTTTGGTCCTCTGACTGCAACAAGGACCACAGAGGACCTTCGCACAAGCGCCGGGGAAGGATGCTTATAGTGGTCCAGAGAGTTTGCTCGGGATGACGGGGAGCGGGGAGCCAAAGGATGAAGGATGATGGTGCAGGTGGGGGAGATGCCGGTACCTTTCCTTGTGTCATGGTGCCGTCTCTCCGGGAAGGGGTCCCTGAGGCAGGGGCGGCCGCTTGGGTCACAGCAGCCTGCCTGCGTCTCTTCCTTCCTCCGCGTGGGTTCTAGCAACATCCACTGCAGCCGGGCCAGGCGGACCGGAATGTACCATTCAGGCGCAGGAGGAGGAGGGGGCCCGGGGGCGGGCTGGGAGGCTGCTGCGGAGGCCGCTGCGGATTTACAAGCCCGTGGGGAGGAGGAGGCGCGCCGCCCCCTCCCCCGTCCCCTCCACCCTGAACCCTCATCCCGGGACTAGGGAGCGCGTGCTGCAGAGCCACCCAAGTGGATGGGTCCGCAGGGCGGGAGGAGGCGCGGGGACTCCGTGACACCCGACCAGCTGATGCTGCCTGCCTGTAACTGGAGCTGGGTGTCAGGGCCTTATCGCTCCACCATCTCTGCCGCTGACAGGTTCTTTCTGTTCAAGCCTCAGCCTCCCCCTTCCCTGCCTCTGGATGCGTCCCAGATTTCTGTCTCCATTTCCACCTCCCCTCTGATCTGTTTCATCATCCACGGCAGAGTGGGGAAAGTCTCCCACGGCTGGCTCATCTACCCTCCCTGGCTTCTAATAGGGCCCCTGGGCCCTCAGTTCCTATGGGCCTTTGGCAAGCCATATAGGCACCTCTCCTTTGCCTCCATTTTCCCACCTGTGAAATGGGAGCAATGGGCCCCTCCCTACCTTGTCGCAGAGGCCTGGTGTGGGAGGATGCAGGTGCTGGTTTTTTGGGTTTTGTTTTTGTTTTTTTTTCAGCCCTGCTGGACCATCTAACCAGGCCTTTCTGGAGAGGCTTCTAGCTCTGTCTCAAAGCGTCTCCAACTCCCATCCCCATTCCCAAGATGCTGCTTCCTTTCTGCCTCCACTCCTGCCTCCATCACCCCTGCCCCCTTCCAGAGCCTGTTCCCTCCCCTCTCCCAGGCTTGTCCTTGGGAATTGGCCATCGCTGGGCCCAGTTTTCCAAAGCTGCTGCAGTGTTGCTACGGAGTTTGCAATCTCACGAGCTGGGCTGGATTCCCAACTTGATCACCCTCTGGCCTTGTGACTTTGGCAAGGCCTTGATCTCTGTGAGCTGCAGCGTCTCCTATGGAAAGAAAGAGCTCTGTCCATCCTAGATTGACTGTGAGGCACACAGGTTATGGCAGTGGAAGCGCACTGAAGACCACAAAGTGCAGCCAGCATGTGAGTCGTTATTAGCTGAGGAATTAGTGTCTTGGGCCGCTCCAGGGTGAGGACTCTGAGATCTGCCTAAAAGGATCTGAACTTCCTAGGATAAGATGAGAAACCAAGTCCCAATGCACGGATGGCCCCTTACCGTCTGCTTCTCTGTCGTCTCTCAGCTAGACCCACCTAATGACGGTGAGAGAGCAGGGCGCTTGGTGTGCAGCTAGATTATTGAGTTGTGACTCCAACTCTGTTCGCCCTTTGTGTCCCGCCCCCTAGCTACCAACTGCCTACATGCTTGCTTAAGCCGGGGTGTCCCTGTCTAGAGGCTCTCTCAGCCCTCCCTGTCCTTCCCAGCCCTTCTCCTGCCCCCTTCCTCCTGCAAACTGTTGGCATAGTTCCCCCCACCTCCACTGCTGCCCAAGGTCTGCCTGGCCTGCACGCCACCACTGTCCCCCCCTCCCCCCCCCCGAATCTGTGTTCTGGAGCAGTTTTCTCCTCCTGCGTGACAGCTCTAGTGGCCACCTCCTCCAGGAAGCCTCCCTGGCCCCTGGTCTGGGATTGATGCTTTTTTCTGTAGTTTCCTAGCACCCGTCACATGACACTGTGGAGTTTCTTTGTCTCCCTGGTAGATTCTGAGAGAACCTGTCTAGCAGTTTCCACGTTGGCAGGGCTGAGAACTGCGGCAGGCATGTGGAATGTACTCGATAAATCCTAGCTGTGACTATTACCCAGACATATGGTGTTACACAGAGCCTGAATTTATGTAGGCCTCAGCATTTTCATGTATTTGCGAATCTCAGTTGCTCCTTCTTTCCCTGTTTACTCCACTCCTGCCACACAGGCCTCTTGGCTGTTCCTTGACAGGCTAAGTATACTGTTAGCTCAGGGCCCTTGCACTTGCTACATCCTCTGCCTGGAATGTCTACAGATTGCTGTATGGGTCACTCCCTCACTCATTTCACGGCTCTGCTCACACATCACCTTCTTGGGAAGGTCTTCCTGATCCTATATAAGTAGGAATGCCACCAATGTACCACCACCCAGTTCATCGGGCAGTCTCTTTCCTGCCCCGGCTTTATTTTATTTCCTTGGCAATTGTGACCTCTGACACATATCTTGTGTTTAGACTTTTGGTCCCTCTTTCTCTTCTAAGCTCTCAGCGTCAGCTGTTAGTATTAGCCTCAAGGAGTCCATAGATGTTGTTTAATGAAATAATTTCCACCCTCATAAGGCAGCTCAGTTCCGCTGTTATTCCTTCATCACGTGTGTCGTGCCTAGCTCTATGTGACACACTGTGGTAGAAGCTTTGGTGGTTCAAAGGGGACTCAGACATGCAGCCTTTCTTCGGCGGGAAAAGGTCCATTCAGAGCTCACCCCTGCGCACTGCCAGGGCGGGAAGCAGGCTCGGGCAGGATCGCTAAAGAAAGGGGTGCCTGAGGGGAGCCAGGCACAGTGAGAAGTTCCCCAGGGAGCCGGGAGCTTGTTGGGGTCACATCTCTGACTCTCTAGCCCAGAGAATGGGCTTTATTCTGTTAGCATCAGAAGTGGGGGTGGGGGGAAGTTCCAAGGGTTTTCAAGCAGGGGAATAGGTTCGAAATCATGCTTCAGAAAGACCAAACTGCTGTAGTGATATTTGTCATTAAAGCATTCTCTTGAACAAGAAGGGAAGAAGGGTCGGCCTGTGAGGAACTGTGGGGAGGGCCTGAAGGAGGGCAACGCTGATAAGAATGCAGACTCTGTGAGTTCTTGTGGTGGCCTGGAGCCCAGACTGCAGAGCGGTCTGCCTGGGCTCAAATCCCGGCCCTGGGCAAGATGCTTTGCTTCTCTGTGCCTCTGTTTCCTCACTGAGTTAGTATTAGTAAAGCACTCAGAGCAGAGCCAGGCATATACCAAGTGCCCCATGCATGTTTGCTAATTTAAAAATAAGACAAATGATCCAGGGGCAGAAAAGATGGAGAGAGGCAGACAGCTTGGGGCAGGATTGACAGGACTTGGGAAGAGGCTGAAGACAGAGGGATTTGTAGGCTGAGACCCTGGGAGAATGGTGCCATTAGTAAGAGGGAGGATGGGGCTGATGTGTTTGGTGGGGGGGGAGGGGGAGGGG